GAGGCGGGGCAGGGCCGGGAGCAGGGGAGGCCGCGGGCAGTGGGCAAGGCCTTGCCCCATAGTGGGGCCGAGGGGGGGCGGCAGGGGTCCCTTCGTCGCCTCCCGTGGGCCACCTGTGGGCACAAAGCTCGGCGGTTTCTCGCGTCAGGGAGGCGTTTAGAGCGGTGAACAAGCGCCCGCCCGCTCAGGAAGGCTGGGCAGGGTTTGTAGCTCAACACCCCAAGTACCGTTATTCCGGGGGGGGGGATGAACCCCGGTTTTGTCAAGGGGCCCCCGTCGTCCAGCACCGTCGGGCACGGGTTTTAGTGAGGGCCCCGCCGTCCATCTTGAGAGGCCGTGCGAGGCAAGGGGTAGAGAGTGGCGGACTAGGACTCACGGGACCTTCAGTTCCAACGGCCTTCATCGCCGTGGAAGGAAACTCCCTGAAGGGGAGGCGGTGGCGGCGGCGGCTGTAGGCAGCCCACTCCTCAAGTCTCTCGCCCGCTTGGGGAACAAGGCGAGGATTTCCGTAAATCAGACGCACCTTGACGGTCCTCTTTAATTTCTGACAAGGGGTGGTCTGCCCCTGTGTGCGTTGAAAAGGTATTGGAAGGAGGTTTTCTGGTCAGCCCAGAGGAACTTTTACAGCTAAGTACAGCACAAATGTTTGGAGGAGACTGTATGTAGTTATGTGCTGTAAATGAGGAATGGCTGGAAAGCTCTGTGGTTTAGGTCTCAGGTTGTGGAGTCAGACAGAGGGTGGGAGCTCAGTTCCCTACTGTGCCAGCTGAACTCAATGAATGACCCATAGGGTTCTCAAGGTAAGTGAAATATTTAAGTAGCTTTTTCAATTCCCCATGAGTTTCTAGGGACAAGTGAGGATCTGAACCCAGGTCTCCAGAATCCTATTCTGTCACACTATCCACTAAACCGCACTAAATGTTCACATGAGACCATGTGTCTTCCACCTGTCTATAGGAAAAGAAGTCAAAATGAAGATTAAAAAAGAAGCTGAATGTATAAAGAGGTTGGATTTGTCAAGGTATATGGACAATTTTTAGGGCCTCATCTGAGCAAGAGGTCTCAGTGATCCTACAGCTATACTAGGAGTGGGATTTTCATGTCGCAAGAAATGGAAGGGGAAATGCAAAAAAAGACTCTCAGTTTAATTTTCATGCTTTTTATCTAGTCGGTATACATAGCCTTTGAAATATTAGTCTCATTTAAAATTTTCGCATTTCCATCTTTCATGTTCCCCTATTTTTGTTTAAACAGAAAAGGGAAGCATGAATATTTCTTATTTTCTGTTTGTCTCTTCTGTTTCATTGTTCTAAAATCAGCTTGGAAAGTTTTAATCTGTGTATCCCTAAAACAAAGTGGTGGCTACAAAGCTGTTTGATCTGAAAGGATGGCTGAAGGAAAGGAAAGATACATTATTTCCCCTTTAAATACTTAACATTTGTTTCTAGAAAGGAGTTAGTGGGGTAGCTGAATCAGATCATTCCATTCTGTTCCAGCAGTAAGATGTTCTTTTTTATTTTTTTTTAAATATAACTAATTCAGAAGTATTTAAATAACTTGCAATTTCAGGTAGAGGCAGAGACCAACAAGTGGTCTCCTTTACTCTATCCTCGTGCACTTGAGTAGTGGATCTCTATGAGCGATGGTCTCAAGTAGAGATGGGGGTGTTCCTATACGCATATCCCTGCACAGGTGGCAATAACGAGAGTGCAACGCCATGGGACCGGACAGTCCACTCACCGATCTGCCGCTGCTGTGGACACTGCAATTCTTCCAATGGCTCTGCAGATCATGATCGGCCAGCCACTCCTGGCAAGAGGCGGGAGGACAAGCCTCACTGCAAGGTCGAAGAGTGGCACACAGATTGTGATCTGCACAGCCATTGGAAGAATCGTGGCGTCCGCAGCAGCAGCAGATCAGTGAGTGGACTGTCCGGCCCCATGGGGCTGGACCCTCATTATTGCCACCTGTGTGGGGTTATTCGTATCTCTAGTAAGATTGAATCTGCTCTATACCAGAGCATATGGTAGAGTTGTACATACTTTGCCAGTTCTTTGCCAGTTATCTTAGGAGATTTTCTTTTATTTTCGCAACATTTGAGTATGCTTTATTACTGTAAGAAAGCATCTGGATTGAAATTGAAAGATTACATGTATGAAACAGGGGTTTCAGACTTCAGCTAAATGAATGTAGTATTTCTTTGACATTTAAACAGAAAAAATTATTTAATATAAGAAGTTCCAGTCAGTCTAAAACACAGATGGTCTCTAGAAATTCTGTGAGTTGGAGTTAGACTTAGTCATGCTTAAGAACTGACCTATTGACATCAGCGACACTATATCAGGGTCATTGTGACTGACTGAGGTCCCAGTGGTTTCAGTGGGACAGTTCTAAGCATGACTAAAACCTATTCAGGAGTTAACAGTATTTAGTTTGCTGGACGCCCTTAGAGGAGTTTGTGTAGGCCTGCCACACCCAGCATTGTTTTCTTCATGTGATGATGGAGGAGTCTGAAGAGGAAAGGATTCTATTCACATGTAGATTCTACAAATGAACAGGAACCCTGGAAAACCTAGGTCCTTGCTCATGTGTAGAATCTTGTTTCAAACAAACTCTCTTCTTCAGTCTTCTCTGTCATTGTTACCATAGTCTCTTGAGCCAGAAGGATGCCATTGCATTGCATCTTACCAAGAAAGCACTGAAGGGGGTGGTGTCTAAGTGCTTTCCTCATAGCTCATTCCCCAGACCAAGTATCCCAGTAGCATAGGGCTTTTTTGCTGTCATGCTGAAGCATGCCTTTGGAACTGCAACAGAAGGTATCTATCTACGGACTAGATCAGATGGAAAGCTCTTTAATTTCTCTAGATTGAGAGCGAAGACCAAAGTCCAGCTGAAATGCATGCGGGACTTCCTCTTTGCTGATGATGTAGAGACTGGCAAAACATTAGGAAGAACAACCTTTAGAACACGGCCAAAGAGCCCGAAAAACCCACAACAACCAACGATGCAGCTGTTGTTGCCCATTCTGCTGAAGAGCTCCAACAACTTATGAATTGTTTTAGTAAGGCCTGCCAAGACTTTGGATTAACAATCAGCCTGAAGAAAACACGTCATGGGCCAGGACGTGGACTCACCTCCCTCTATTACCATCTCTACACAAGAATTGGAGGTTGTTCATGACTTTGTGTACCTTAGCTCAATGATCTCTGACACTCTCTCCCTAGATGGCAAAGCAGCTACCATGTTCTCTAGACTCACAAAGAGAGTATGGCTTAATAAGAAGCTGACGGCATATACCAAGATCCAGGTCTATAGATCCTATGTCCTGAGTTCACTCCTGTTCTGCAGTGAGTCCTGGACTCTTTGTGCATGGCAGGAGAGGAAGCTGAACATGTTCCATATGTGTTGTTTCGATGCATTTTTGGTATCACCTGGCAGGACAAAGTTCCAAATAGAGTAGTCCTAGAACAAGCTGGAATTTTTAGCATGTATACATTACTGAAACAGCGACGTCTACGTTGGCTTGGGCATGTTGTGAGAATGGCTGACGGTCAGATTTCAAAAGATCTCCTGTATGGAGAGTTAGTGCAGGGAAATTGCCCCAGAGGGAGACCACAGCTGCGATACAAGGATATCTGCAAGCGGGATCTGAAGGCCTTAGGAATGGACCTCAAAAGATGGGAAACCCTGACATCTGAGCATTCAGCCTGAAGGCAGGCGATGCATCACGGTCTCTCCCATTTTGAAGAGACCCTTGTCCAGCAGGCCGAGACAAAGAGGCAGTCCCAAAAGCAGCAAAATCAGGGAGCTGGATAGGGGACACCTTGTCTTTGTCTTCAGTGGGGAGGGGATTGTCACTCTTGAATTGGCCTTCTTAGCCACACTAGACGTTATTCCAAGACCTCTATTTAGAGCACGTTATCATAGTCTCTCTAGACTGAAGGATGTCTGCCTAGATAAATTGACTTTAAGTCTTTTGAGAAGCAGAATTCTGGAACCACAGTAAAGAAAGATGAGGAATGGGACACAGAGCAGGATGGGTATCTTCTTTTCAAAATATAACTTGGCTTCATTTCCTGTTGTATCTTCTCACATTGTGCTTTCTGTTCATTGTGTTTTCTGCTTTTATCAGAATTTGAGAATGAGATTTACTGTCTCTTTTTAAAAATTCTGAAGTCTGTACAGTGGTGCCTTGATTTGCGAACTTAATCAGTCCCAGAAGATGTTCGTAAGTTAAAACATTTGTAAGTCAAATCAGCATTTCCCATAGGAATGCATTCAAACCCGATTAATCCGTTCCGGCTGTTTTTTTGTTCGTATGTAGAGGCCCCGTTTGTAAGTCAGAGCATTAGTTCCCATAGGAACTAATAAAAACCCGGTTAATCCATCCTCTACCACTAGGGGGAGAAATATTTTTTTTAACCTAAGATGACTTAGGTTAAAAAAAGGGCAGGAAAGGAGGGGGGCATGGAACACCTTTTAAAAGAACACCTTTAAAACCAAGGAGCTTTAAACTAAACCAAGCACCTTTTAAACCAATTTTTACCAGGCAGTCCAAAGTCCATTTCCCACTTTCCCCGCATTTTTTGTTCATAAATCACAGCTCCGTTTGCAAGTCATAGCAAAAATTTGCATGAGGAGCTGTTTGTAAGTCGAAATGTTCACATGTCAGGGCATTCGTAAGTCAAGGCACCACCGTACTGTTTGTCTATTCCTTTGTTCTTCATGACATTTTACTACTGCACACAAATGAACAAAGCTACAAAATCATGAGTAAGGAGTGGTGTAAATACTAGAAGGATTGCTTATAGGGAAAGTGTAAGTCACAAATATGAATGGCTACTCACCACAAGATTTTGTTTGAGCCATGATTTGGTGCTTTGGGAAATCACCTGCTTTGGCTTCTGTCAGTTTGAAGTCTCGGCCAAATGTGCATTGAGGTTCAACAATCTGAAGGTTCATGTATCCCATCAACAATAATTGAGTGGTTTTTTGCTGAAAGGTATTTAAAGGATCAGTTGCCCTTTACAACTACTCGGTTTAAGACAAATAGATACAAATTTTATATGTTTAATTTTGATGTTTGATTTTTTTTAAGGAAGCGGTAACTCAATAACTTTTTATTTCTTGATCTAGAATAAATTTACAGCCATAGTAGTCTCATATGGAAGCATCATGGTTGTTACAATTTTGGAGGATAGGTTGAGGAATTTTTTTTTAACAAAGCAGCCTTTTCATTTAGAGTGATTCCCCAAATAGGCAGTTTGGAAAACAATAAGCATCACAGAGATGACCCTAAGTAGCAGGCTTGCAGAGTTTCCGAAGGATAGAGTAGTTTATATGAAACAGGGTCCTAAATATTCTGTGGGGAGAGTGATTAGATTACACTTTCTTTTCTTCCATTCCCCCTCGTGTTGGGTGCCTGCTGTAATAGATCGCTGATGATAACCCAGTACCCTAACCCTAACTAATCTACACACAGAGTGCAACATCACTGAACTGAACTCATCCCCCAAAATGCAGAACATTAATGTGCTTATAAAAGAAAATGTTGGTATAAGAAACACAGGGAAGAGGGCCTAAAAAGTAGAATCTGGAAAGTTTATGGTGTTGGTGCCTAATGTCACTGTGGTTGTACATGTGAAAAAATGGTTGTGCATGTGCAAAAAGATGAATCGTATGCAGCGGAAAGGAAATCTTTTTTAAAATGTGGTAAAATGATGTTGGATGGAAAGAGATACAATGATGATGAGTTATCATTGACATCACTACATTATTATTTCATTCTTATATACACAAG